CCGACTCCAGGGGGGCGATCAACGGCGGCAGAGCAGATGGCGGAGGAGCCCGAGGCGGAGACGGAGAGCCAACGAGCCAGGGAGATGCCGAGGATCCGGGGGGCCAGGGTGGAGCCGAGGGCTCTGGCGACCGAGGCGGAGAACCAGAGATCCATGGCGGAGCCAGAGCGACTGAGGGCCAAGGTGGAGCTGGCGAGAGGAAGGAGCCCAACGGAGCCAGAGGTGCAGCCGGAGGAGCGGAGTCCTGAGGCGATGGCGGGTCGACGCCCGACCAAGGCAGAGCCGGAGGAACGAGGGAGCTCGGTGGAGCTGGTGGTTTGACGGGTGACGGTGGAAGCTAGGGAGCTTGGAGCCGAGGTGGAGCCGCTGGGTCTACGGGCCGAGGCGGAGTTCGGGCCTCGGAGGCTGGTGGAAGAGATGAGGGATTCTCCAGCCATGGTGACGCTGGAGGATGGCAGACCCGCGGAGTTCGCACCGTAATGATGGTGGGCTGAGGGCAAGCAGAGGGGCTGCCAGACAACAGCGGTGGAGGAGACTGGAGTAGGTGGGAGGGCGGGCATTTTCAGGGGGCGTCTGGATCGGGAGCCCCCTCTAGGCTGAACACGGGAACAGGATGGCGCTCTGGAGGAGCGGGCACTGGAAGGCGCTCTGGACTGGATTCGGGGACTGTAGCCCTCTCTTCTTCGGTTTGGCACTTTCGCCGCGCCATACTCAGCTCACTCTCAGCCGCGGTGCAGGGGGCGGGGCTCCTCTCCACGCTCACATCGTCCACGGCTTTCTCCTTCGTGACGGGCATTGTCACCGGCTCTTGTACCTGGTCTGACGGATACAGCTCTACGTCCGGGGCGATCCTTTGCTCAGTCGCTAGGCTTAGCGCTGGCTCGCTGATCGCGGCGGGAAATGGCTCTCCATCAACGGCGGGCTCAGGCTGATGCTCCGCATCGCGGGGAGATGGTGGGCTGGGCTCTGGGTCTGGAGTGGATCTGACGAGATCATCCACGGGGTAGGATGGCGATCCGTTTCTCGCCAGAGTCTACTCCACGAAGGCAACGAAATCCTCTCGAGGACCATCCTCAGATGACGGCGCGTCGTCCGGGTAGCTGGTGGTGCTAGCTAACAGCCGGAACAGTCTTGTATGGTCCTCGAGAGATCTGTCCCACTGCTCCAACAGGAGGAGGAGGAATTCGGGGCGAAGGAGGGGATCCATGGAAACAACAGTAACAAAAGAAAACACTGAGGAACAATGGAAAACAAACGGAGGGGAAACACACGGAGGTTACTGTCTTTGGTCGGGTCTTCTGTCACGGTATGCTGTTGGAAGGAGTATGAGGGAAACGAGGAGCACAATCAAAAGTCTTTAATCCAAGGAACACAGGGTAAATCCACACAAAGGGTACTGGAGAAAACACATGTACACAACAGAGTGATAGTAAGATAGAGATTCAACAGAAAACTGAAGCTACACGGAGCTACAATCACAAACCACTCAGCAGCACGGCAGACAGGAAACGGAAGGAGACTGACATCCAGCAGTTTTAATCAGATCACTTTAAGGATTTAAAAAAAATAATCTTTGTCATTAAGACACACAAACATAAAGACTCCAGTCTTATGAATTCTTATGAATCTCAGCAATGGTGACATGCTTGATCATCATACAAAACTCATCCATGGCTCACCATTGTTGAGATTCATAGACTAATTCTTGATGTTTGTGTGTACCTAAGCATTCATTGGTTCAAAACTATTTATGAACAATGTGTTTTTAAAATTACAGATAAAAATACTAATTATCCGATTAAAGCACTGCTGCATCACATGTTGTTGAAGTGCATTACTAGTCACTAAAATGAAATTAATAGCATAGTTTAGTCACAACATGATGATTAACATCAACAAGTAGCCAACATCATCTGATCACATGTTCTCTTGTTGTTTCTCCTTCCTTTTCACAACAATGGTGACTTCAAACCAAACTATTATTTTCATTAAACCGTCAACATCTAAACCTTTGTTAATCTCAATAAGTACCTTTGTAAATGTATGACAAAAATAAAGCCAATCTGGTTTATATTTGAAGCTGGTAATGATGTTTTTTGGAGTTATTTAATGATGATGGGGGCTGACATCAAACAAAGGTTGGGTTTTCACTTTTAAACAAAATTTCACATCCACATCCACACAGTCCACATATAGTGCAATAGGAATCTTCCCACTAAAATCTTTATTAGAATGTTAGGGGATAATGTTCTAATAATGTTACCAATAAACATGTTTATGTTTTTAGAGAATGTTATCCTACCTTTTAGCAGAACATTCTAGGAACAAAAATAAAACATGCCGCAGAAAACATTCCCAGAACATAAAAAAAATTATAGATGGGAAACAAGTTCAGTATCACAATCAGGAATCGTGTTGTGCTGGCAAGGTAAAATGTCTATAGCACCAATCCTACTGTATAGAAAAAGTAGTGTTCATACAAACACACGCAAACAGACTCTCACCGTAAAGTTTAAACAGAGATCATTCATGTTCTTCACTCTCTGCAGGCTGTGGCGCTGCAGTATTGGAGAGGAAGGCTGTGCTGCTCTGATTTCAGCTCTGAGATCAAACCCCTCACACCTGACAGAACTGAATCTGAGCTGTAATAATCCAGGAGACTCAGGAGTGAAGCTGCTCTCTGCTCTACTGGAGGATCCACACTGTAAACCGGAGAAACTATAGTAAGTTTTTGAGTCAATGCTTTTACTTCTTATCTTGTATTAAAGCAGATCTTAGTGTATTTAATCTTTCTCTATATTGTACAGTATTTGACAGTGGAAACTCCACAAGCTCCAAACAAGTGAATCAAAACAACACGTCCTGAACAAGACTGTCACCTGGACAAATGCAGATACTGATCCAGCAGTTTAAAAGAACAGAACAGTATTAACATATTCTAGTTTTATTCCAAACACTAGGTACTTGGAGTATACAGAATGAGTATAATAGTTGTTTTTTTTATGTTAATACTGTAGACTGAGCCATTAATATAGTCCCTCCAAATGAAATGCCAGCTGTTTGTCCATCATCATTCATTCATTAAAACATAAATCAAAACAAAAAGTCAATGAGATAACTATAATAATCCTCAGTGAGAGAAACACCAGTATGTAAATGAGTAATTTTCAAAACTGGAAAAGATAGTGAGATACCTACATACTGTAGTTTCTAAACTAGACACAATATACATAAAACAATCAGAAATTCAAGTTCAAACTTGATAAAACTCCAGGAATGCAGGAATAACACCTGCAGGAGAATATTTATTTTTATTCCAATTTATTCTCCCTTGTCTTCCTTTTGATTGTATTATTAAACATATGTATTGTTTTTAATTTCATTTTGTATTATTGTTGTTTAATGTTTAGCACATTTCCATGTTCTGAAGCTGTAAATGTTTTGGTAAATAATTTGTATGTTGTTTTTCATGCCAATAAAACAACTGAACAACAACTGTGTTTGTATGAGCGACGGCACTCCCAGATATACTGTTCATGTGCAGCAGCATTTACAGCAAACACTCACTCTACAGTAAACACTCTGAGACACTGAAAACACTGGATCTTGAGCTGCTTGTGTGTAAATTAATGCAGTGCCACTATTCACACACAAAACACGTTTTGACTTTTTGACAGCTCAAAGGTTGTGAATCTCATTTAATTGCCAATGACTTATGGCACTTTGGATTCAGCTATGTTTGCCCAAATCAAGTTTCCATCCCCACACGGTTAGGGGCCGATCATACAGAATTACGTTTTGCATTGCACTGTGCTGATTTCCTTTGTTTTTTTCTATGTAAATATGCCCTAGACCCGTTCTTCGTACGTCGCTTATTACATCCGAGATGAAATGTCACATCCAAGATGATATCATCGTGCTAATCAGGATCTGGCTAATTCGGTTCTTCGAACGCACCTGTTGTTGATGATTAGTATGGCTGGATTGAGTTATCTGAGATAATTGCGCGTTCATGGGTTGGTTTAAAAGGGGCTATGTATCAATACTCGAAACCACAATCAACAATGCAGCGATTGGCTGGCGGCAAGACAGCAACGTAATGACATCATATAATTAAAAAAGACACCTGACGAAAAACTTGACACATTTTTGGACTTATATAAGGAAACAGCCAAGCGAACAAAACTACATACATTTTATAATAGATCAATGAAATGTGCACTGTTTTTATTTTATTTAAATTTTTTACATGATACCCAATTATTTATATTCACGTTTTCCAATATTTGTACAGGCTTTACATTTTTATTTCAATGTAGTAATTAGCAATTAATGTAATTACTGGCTGTGTCTATAGTATTAAAGACAACACAACATTATTATATTATCTTTAAATTCATTTTTAAATTATTATTTTAAATTATTGTCCCTGGATCAGTAGGATAGTAGCGACTGACGTGCCGCACACTGCCTGGAGACAGATCTCCGCTTTTTCACAATGCAAGGGTAAATAAACAACTGACGTTTGAATAGTAAAGCGTTTTCTTCACAACTTTTTTTTTCTTTTTAGCTTTCTTTCTTTTTTCCCCCGTTTATTTGTTTAGAATAGTTGTGTTGGTGTTTAGTTAAAACTTTGGTGCACAAATCACATGACGTATTTGACATGACAAATAACACGTTTTTGATTCCGTCACTGCTGGCAGATCACTTTTAAATGACTCCTGATCTTGCTACATGCTCTAATCCTTTAGTACTGAAAGTTATTTTCTGTGACCGCAAAAATAACATTTCTTAGAGTTGATACAAAATTACAATGAAAGTTCGCTGAAAAACAGATTACTCAATTGTAATACAAAAAAAAAAAAAAATGATTTTAACATCATTTTACAAAATTTTCAAATTTCAAACAATTTTAAACAACTGTATTTTCCCCAAATTGTGCAGCCCTAGCAGATACAATAAAAAGAAATTAGCATCAACCAAAATACAGAATGTCTTCCCTTCAACATGTTTATTGATGTACTGAACAATAAAAACAAAATAAAAAATTTCAAACAGAAAAGAACATGTACATCTTGTTTTATACTTATTTAAATATTTAACATAAAGATAGTCATTAGCACAAAGAAAACTGAAAAAGTTAAACTAAAGATTCATGCACACACATGCAGTGGATTGCACCGCAGACGCTCATGAGGAGAGACGGGAACACCGACACGGGAAAGCTCTCCATCTCAGCCTCATGGAGGTCACCTTCGACATTATACACCAAAATAAACAAACTTAAACAGTCAGCTGTTATTCTACTTAAATCTTGAAACGCATGTTTTAAAACGTAAACTATTTTAAGAAAACAAAACAAAAAAAAAACATGAAATATTTCCTGCCATCTATGTAAAGTCACGTTTGCATAATGTCACACAATCAGGCCTTGTGTGTTTTGTTTGTCTTGAAGGAGACCTGTAAAACCCGGTCCCCGAGCCGGTACCCATTCAAACTGGCAATTGCTACAGCAGCCTCGTCGTAGTTTGTCATGGTCACGAAGCCAAATCCTTTGCACTTGTTTGTGTTGAAGTCTCGTATGACCTTTACATTAGTCACCGCACCAAACGGGCCAAACATCTGCCAGAGGATGTTCTCGTCAGCATCCGGCGCCAGATTATACACAAAAATGCACCAGCCTGTGCCAGCGTGACCCGGGAGATTGATGCCTGCCAGGCTGGTGACCCCGTCAATGGTCATGGGTGAGAATCTACTGCCAAAAACAGACAAAAACTGTATTTCAGCTAAAGCAGCAATAAAGGCAATTTTCTGAGCAGTATGCCACCAAGCATCCATACGGCTTCCTTCAGTAGTGTGCAACATATCCATTTACATCTTTAAAAAACATATATTGTATTTATTTATTTTTTTAAATATTAATATTTATTTTAAGAATTTTTTTTAATTTTTTTTATTGAGATGCAGACAGTGTAAATTAGTGCTAATGCACAGTCTAGAAAGGATCATTTATGACACTATCACTGCAGAGCAGCCTGAGCTCAGATTAAGTGATTATAAAAGTGACAGTCTCGCTCTCCGCACATAGTTTATGTAAAATTTGATTAATTGTTTAGTGATTGGTCTGCTTTTTAATTTTGGCCCAGAATTCTCCATTACAAACCACAAGCGTGCGTCTCTGTGATTAAACTAGTTTAGTGAGATGAAATGGCACTGACATGCTTAACAGAACTGATGCTGAAAACTAGAGAAATCATTTGTGTATTAGGCTTTTCGATCCACAAATCAGCATCATGAATTTACTGCTTTAAAACGAACTGTAAACATAGCATTTAGCCAGAAATGTGCTACATTCATATTGAAAGCTACATATTAATAAGTGTATATTAATGAATGCACATTTTAAATTATTAAACAAGTAATGGAACATAATATTTGTTATGAAGCTATGGAAGTGCATCTACTTATTTATTTTGTTTTTGTGTTCAAACTGTTTTTCATAAATACAAGTTTTATAGAAACAATGTATTTTCCAGAATATTGTCAAATTCTGACATCTAAAACTCAGGGTTTTTCCTGCATACAGAATTTATGAGGCGGTTTTCATTTATAATTTGTCTTGTGGTGTGGTTGATTGTGATTTCACTTTTTTAACGTTAGTGTGTAATGTTGCTGTTTGAGCAACATACGACGTTGAAAGTTCAGTGCAAACGGAGACATCCTCTTAATTTACAAAAATTACAGTTACGGCTGATAGGGACTACAACGAGCTACTTCCCGGCTTCATGACATCACAAACCCAATATTCAATATTGCAATATTGACGACGCCATTGTTTACAATACACCCGGAGCACATACTAAGCTGAGGGGCGTGACGATTAGACGTGCACTGGTGGTTTAGCCAATCACAACACACAGGGCCAGCTGACCAATCAGAGCCCAATGCGTATTTCTGAGGGCGGGGCTTCATAAAACCTGGAAATCATCAGAGCATTCATAAGAGGGACAGAGAATAAAGGTAAATTATGTGAAAAATATATATATATTTTTTTTTTAAATGAAGCATTAACACATGTTAGATTGGTTCATAAGAGGGACAGAGAATAAAGGTAAATTATGTGAAAAATATATATATTTTTTTTTTTTAAATGAAGCATTAACACATGTTAGATTGCACCCCATAAACACAATCAAGTCTAGAAAAAAACGAGTCAACCACCACTTTAAATCTCTCTCCTGTGTTAAAAAAAAATTGTGAGAAAATCGTACTGACATCAGTATTGTGAATCGTATTTGACTGCGAGTTGAGTAAATCTTTACATCCGTATCGATTACACTTCTACGTTGTGTTCTGTACCCAGCAAACCCAGAGAAACATTTCTACACATGAAACAAAGCTAATAAACACACTATTACGTTAGTATATCGTTTGTGTGTGATTTTCATGAGTTTTGGGGTATGTTCATAATAATGAATGTTTACATTAGAAATGCGAAGCAACTAGCTTAATATAAAAGACTACAAATAACTTCTTTAAAAAAAATCCACATTAAATTGCAATCGGAAGTTATGAACACTCGATGGTGGTTTGAAGTGAGATTTGAGAAATCGTAGTATTCATTTTATAAAAAGGGCCCCTTTTAGCAGTTATGTTGTATTTAATTTAATGTTCTACAGGTTTGTTTTTGTAAAATGTAACTTGATAATTATTGCTTTCTTCAATCATCTACTTATTAGAACACCTAAAATATGTTGCATGTAAAAAGTGTTTGTTTCCGCCAGTTAAAGGGTGTGTACAATGTGTGCACATGATCAGGATGGTACCACCACCACTTCATTTTGAGCCAGAAAAACCCTGATGCTGAAATTTATATTCCAAAGAAATGCCAATGCAATTAAGTTCAAGCCTGCAAAACATGCACAAAGCGTACACATTTGGCTGTGTGTTGAATGAGAGGCTCAAGATTATTTGTATAGCACATTTCCCATCTGCCGGTTGTTTCAGTTTCACTTTAACTTATTTTAACTGTTTTAAGTTAAATTTTACATTTAGTCATTTAGCTGACGCTTTTATCCAAAGCGACTTACGAATGAGGACAATAGACGCAATCAAAACCAGGGCTCTGAACCGGTTCAAGGAACGAAAATGAAAACCGAAAGCGAATGAAATTTTGAGAGGAACAGAACCAGAAACAAAATCAAATTTTATAGTTCCGAAACAGATTCGAAAATTTGAAATGGCCATTAACCGGTTAATAACGTTATATTATCATTCCATTTAATATTTGAAAATTGCTGTCAACCGATCAGGTATTCAAGTAGTACTGCCTGCAAACGTGACGCTGACGCATCCAGCGAGTGAAATGCCTGTGCTCAGCTGTGAACTCATATGTCGCAATGGCAATGCATCGGCGTTAGAGTTTATCTGAGGATAGTGTAAGAAATTTAACAGATCACACGCACCTGCAGCGCTTCTGTGAACGGAGAAAACAGAATAAAACTATAGGCTTACATAAAAAGGAATATATAGGCCTATACACGAAATACATTTAACTTAAATCATTGACAGATTAACAAAACGAAAGACAAAAAATGTGCCGAGTTTCGGTTTATTGTGACGTGATCCAAAGTTCACGAGACAGCAGAACGCAGTTTTATTTTGCAAAAGCTTTACGGTTTTATATATTTTACAGTTTTATTTATTTTGCAAATCTTGACCGTTTTGAGTGATGTCTTGCTTCTATCTGTATAACCAACCAGCGTTGGTATGACCATATCGCGCCGGCACACAGACACAACATATTTTTGCAACATTGCAGCCTGTTCATTATCAAAATAAAATACATTTAAAGAAACAAAAAAGTAACACTGCTCCGTTGTACAATGTTGCGTTCAGCGTGACAGCGCCTCACTGTGCTGATATGCGAAGGATGATGTTCAAAGCGAGTGAAGTACAAAGCCTACTAGGCTACATAAATATTTTAGCATCCAGATACGTCGCGAATATGAAAACATTTGGATTCGTGCCGAATGAGAGAGCTGGGCATCAGTTTCACCTTAAATTAATTTGTTTTTGGCTTGACGTTTATATAGCCTAAACGCTTTAAATCGCCTTAACTTTAGAGGATTTCTGTGGAGAGAAGGGAACTTCAGCTTGTGTTTATAATGTTTGTAAACATTTTGCTTTACCAGCATTTTAGCCTACATTATTTCTGAATGTAATCATAAAATGCGATGTGAGCCTATACGCGACTTAGCCCATGTTTTTTTCCCCTCTCAAAACGCAATTTTATACAAGCAGCGTTAACATTGCAGCAAACATTTTTAAATATCTTGAAAAAATACCTTAATGTCTTTAAAGCGTTAACAGATTTTTTTCTTTTGTTTAGTAGGCTACATTTGGCCAAAATCTAGAAAAGATGATGCTGTATTGTCCATGTCTAAGCGCAGTGGGTTATGAAGATACCAGATCTCCTGTTTTTTTTGTTTTTGAGCAAAGAAAACGCTGTACAGTATTACAGGCAATTGAATTATAGGGTGTCCTAACTTTGCCACACATGGTTTTTCCATTCTGGCTTAATTTTTGTTAATTAAATAATAACACAGTGTGATATGTAATGTGATGTTGTTCATCTGAGGTTTTATTGTCCAAATTTTAAGACCTGCCAAGGACCAGATACTTTTTTTTATGATGTCCTGATACAGAAAACCATGGAATTCAATAGGGTGTCCTAACTTTTTCACATGACTGTGTGTGTGTAAAAAAAAGAAAATGTAGATAGATTAGAAAAAGAATGTAGAAATCTAGTGGTTTTTTTAAAGAAAAACAAGCAGTTAGAGCCTGATTTTTGTTTTAATTATCCATCGTACATAAAAAAAACAACAACATTTGCAATCAAGACTGAAAAAAGCCAGAAGTGAATGTAAACCAGATTTGGCCCAGACTCTGTTGCTATCTGTGAAGCCAAGCATAAGAATAGCCTGCTAATGTAAATTTGTTAACCCACAGTAACAAATTTTTACAGATTAATCGCATATTTTCGTTTGCTGAGGATAAAAAAAAAGATACGTCTCGTATAAGTTGCATTTTCAGAAATAATAACGGCAAGCCTAATAATGTTATAATGTACCAACATTATGAACACTATAGGACATTTTACTTCCCCTCACTTCACAACAAATCCTTTAAATTTAACCGTTTCAGAACAGAATAAGAATTTTAAAATATATAATTCTAATGGATAAATATAATTGCAGTATATAATAATATATGCTTAGCAATAAACATGAGCACAAATCCAAATGTGTCCATATTCGCGATGTAGCTGAAGCTAAACTATTAGTCTTATTAGGTAAAATAGGCTTTGTAGTTCACGCGCGTTCCAGTATTGACGGAAAAATATCATAATGAGCAAAAATATGCCACAGTGGACCGGGTCTCACGCCGAACGGCACGGTGAACGGCTGCGCTGTTTCCAATGAATGCAGTAGCTTAGTGTGCGCATGAGGCGCCGGTGCGACCAAACATCAAACAGCTGAAATAGACTACTCCGTAATTTTTGGTCATACAGTAAAGGCATAATTCGAAACTGCAAAGTGCAAAGTGCAAGTTAGTTGAAAATTCAAGAATAATAGCAAAGTTAATAAGAATTCTTTCTAAATGCAGCACCGTTCTTATTTCGCTCTGCATAACCTGAACGAAAAAAAA